CTTTTGTGGCTAATAATAGAATGAAAGCTTTATTTAAGCGATCATCTCAGTAAAAGTTGAGAGTTATGACATTATTGTGCTCATCAAAGACAGTACAAGAGTAATATAATAACTGATACTCCTAAGAAATAATGATGAAAGGCTCATGGAATGCCAAATGTAAGATATTTTACCCCGTCTATTAATAACACTGAAACTAACCTTACTTATTTTAAGTAAGGTATTGCTATCAGGATTAAAACATAATAATTGCAGAGAAATTCAAATTAAATTGGGTAGTGAAGAGAGAGGGAGAGATTGAAAAAGAAAGAAAACAGAGAGAGAAAAGGTATAAGATTACAGTCTCTTAAAACGTGGAATAGTAAATAATTAAAATAAATTTATAAAGTAAATATATATGGTAAAATAAATTTATAAAGTAAGTGTACAATATAAAATAAATATTTTAATTATATGTGGTGTTGTGTTTTAAGTTGAAGAAATAACGCATAGTGCCTATCGAGGCCAAAATAATTACTTGATGTTGCCCACTTGAAAAGTAATTACAATTTCTATCTATACAGCACAAACTTATTACCAGACTATTCAATTTTCTATTTCCCTTTTAATTTGCTTTACCCCACGTGAGGGGCATGTGGAAAATACAAATCTATTCCTTTTATTTTTTATTTTATTACTTGAATTACATTACTTTTGACTATCTTTCCGTCTATGATATGTACTTTTACTGTAGAAAAATATATTAATAATTATTTAAAAAATAAAAATAAAAATAAAATAGGGTATTCGCAGTGAGAAAAATGGACAAGAGGAATACGTTGATCGGAGAAACTCTCGGTTGCCGTGCATACCACAATTTCAAAAGGATTATCATAAATTTTTGTCCAAGTGCTGTCCACATTTTCAAAATTGAAACATTTTCATTCGTATTTCATCGTATTCTTTTCTTAATTTTCTTTATCTACATTGTGTACATGTGAATTGCAACTTCTTTTTATGTATCATTCCCATGGAATTTTAAGAAATTTATTTGTCTTTTTTTTTTTTTGGCTGATTAAATAGAAGGCACATGTATTATTCCGCGTGATCCTCGTAATAATCACCTAAAAACACGATTACTTAATTGGATGTTGTGCTCAAAGTTATTTTCAAAGATTTTTTTGTTAAACTCATTTTCAAACTCCAAATCTGGACTTTTGTGTGTGTTTGAAGACCCACTATTGTTGAGCTTGAAATACTTGAATTTAAAATTCCTTTTTGAAGTTTTGTTGTTCGATTCGAAGTGGGTGTTATAAAATATTATTTATAGTACCTTTTGGGAAGTTCATATTGAAATTTTGTCGCATTTGAAGCTTATTTGAGGTGATTCGAATCGAATTTTTCAGCTGAAAATTATAAAAGAAAAACGCGGTAACCCAACGGTATACCACTACAGTATATATATACTATAAAAGTATACTGCTATATTATACAGTTTATTGCAGCATAGTGCAACAATATACTATAATAGTATATAATTTACTGTAATAATATACAATATATGACAACATTACACCGTAATAGTATACAATATACTGCAACAATATAGTGTTATAATTGGATCCTTTTTCAATTTTTTGAAATATCCATGTCCTTTTTTCAAAATTTAGACGAAGCTCTCATTTATTTTTCAAATACTTTTCTAAATGAACTATTTAACGAAATTCCATGGAGGTATTATTCATTGCATAAGCTCTCATTGAGTTAATTAGATTATATGACAACTGATATCATTTCAGTTTAATAATTGATGCGTACAATTGTATATTCCGTTGGTATAACTATACATTATACTGGTATCATATGTTAGTTGGAACATTTTTTAATTGTATTAGCTATTTTAATTGATACACTATTTGATTTTTCTTTAGTAATAGTAAAATAGTATAGTATCTTGAATTTTTTTAATTTTCCTTTATGCATGTGTATCATGTAATTATTTTGATTTTTTTTCTTTATGCGTTTGTTCTATATAATAATATTGTAGTACAATATCTTGAAATATATTCTTATATTAATATGTGAATTTTTTGATTTTTCTCTTTATGTATGTGTATTATGTAACAGTAGTATAGTCATATATAGTTGCCTGGAATTATTTAGTAGAACTGTATACCCTATTGGTATTATTATATGTCATATTGGTATCATATGGTAGTTAAAATATTTTTTGGTTGTTTTAGCTGCATTTTTAAGTGAATTCTATTCTGAAATGATTTACATGATCATGTTTTGCTGTGTTGGATTTTCTTGTACCTATGATATGGATTTTGTGTATTGTAATAGTTTTTATAGTTATATGCAGTTGTTGGAATGAACCTGTACAACTATATACCCTATTAGTATAGTTATATACTATATTGGTATCATATGCTAGTTGAATTATTTTTTTGGTTGTATTAGCTGCATTTAATTGGTACACTATTTGATTTTCTTTTAATAATAGTAATATAGTACAATATCTTGAAAACTTTATTATATTAATATGTGGTATACTATTTTTTTATTTTTCTCTTTATACATGTGTGTTATGTAATAGTAGTATAGTCATATAGNTTTTTTAAGTGATTACTATTCTGAAATTATTTATATGAACATGATTGTAGTGCTGGAATTTTTTGGGCCGATGGATATAGATTATGTGTGTTATGTAATAATTTTTATAGTTATAGGCAATTGTTGGAACGACCCCGTACAACTATATATCCTGTTATTATACGGAATGAGCAAGTTGCTTTGCGAATATTTAGCTTGCAATGCGAGCATGTAATTTTCTCATACTTTTATTGCATCCTTAAATGTTTTGATACAGTTGTACAGTCGCAGATAGGTGTAGCAATATTCAAGAGCAATCATATACTTTGTTGGTTTATTTGTATACCCTATTGGTATCATATGGTACTAGAAGTCTTTTTTGCTACTTATACTTTTATTGCATTTTTCAATATTTTATAATCATTTCTATTCTAACTAGTATATATGGAGATTTGGAGGCCGTAGATTATGTTTTCTTGCTCCATAACTGGTTGTGTTACTGCTAATGATAGAGTGTGTACTGATATTTGTAGGGAAGGAGATCAAGGTTTGCATCATTGCATGGCAATCACGTGTTGATTCTTAGAATCTGATTATGTAATTTATGGTGCTCAGCAGCAGTCAGTGTGATATTTAGTGAATTAGATCAAGTGACAACTGATATTATTTAAGTTTAATAATTGAATTTAAAAAATGAGAAAAAAGACAAAAGGTATATTATACTAGTTATATTAAAAAAAGATGAACAAATATTTACTATATCAGTTATTTTTTCTTATTGTATAAAAAAAGAATAATAAAAAATAGTGAAAACAGTAAATAAAATTAGATTACGAAGAGAAAAAGCATATAAAAAAGAAGTTAAATGAAATTAGAAAAGGAAAAAAGAAAAAAATAAGAAGAAAACGAGAAAAAAGAAAAGGAGAAAAGAAAAAAAAAGGAAAAAAACATAGAAATAAAAAAGAATTAGAGAAAAAAGAGAAAATTCCTCACCAAAACTATTATAGGTAAGTAATTAGTTTGATGGATAGAAAAATAAATAAGTAGATAAGGATAAATAATTTTGTTTTTGTGGATAACTGTGTCATTGATAAATTTTAGGAATTTTTACCTCCTATAGCAAAGGTTAACACCTTATTTATTATAAATAAATACCATTTAAAAATATAATATTCTATAGATACCTTTTAAGGTTTATAGTAAAATATTTAATTTTGGTTACTTCCTAGCCCTAAGCCACTAAATAGCTAATCAGTTACACTTTTTTCTTTCTCTCTCTACTTTGATACATCCCATTCTCTTCCCTTCCCATTAAAATTTCTCTGCTACGCCGTTCAAAAAATTCTTTAAAAATCTGTATTGTTTCGATCCCAATAGTTTACTTGTTTTGTTTGTTTATCACTGTTTTGTGTGTTTGAAGTCTTCAAGTGTCTTCTTTCTTTCGATCCTAATAGTTTAAGTGTCTTCTTTCGTTCGTTTGTTTAAGACTTTCAATTCGTCATTCAAAATCAGTCCCCACAAATCAATTTCGTCATTCAAATTCAATCTCTATGGGATTTCGAGTACTGAACTCTCCAATGCCATGGGGGCAAATCCAAAGGAGATGAAGCCTCGATCGACGACAGCGTGGGAACTTTGAGATTCAGGATTTTTGCTCGACGTCGGATTTGTCGGAAATTAGGGTTTGTTTTTGAACAAAGACGACTGATTTTGGGGCTGAGCAACTTGATTTTCTGTTAATATATTTCAATGTATTTTCAACGTATCACGCTGTATTTTCATGTATTTCATTGTATTCATTGTCTTTTTTTCCATTGTAATTCAATGTATCTCGTTGTATTCCATGTATTTCATTGTATTCACTGTCTTTTTTTCTTATTGTATTTCAATGTATCCCGCTGTATTCTATGTATTTCATTGTATTCACTGTCTCGCTATATGCCATGAATGTATTCATATTTTTTTTTTTAATAAATATAATTTATGTATTCAGATGTATTATATAATTTCTTTGAAGATTGCTATGTTTTTGGGATATTTTTCGGTTGAGAAAATTTTTTATAACTGAAAATACAAAATTTGTGTGTTATAATTGAGTTTGTTGAGTTATATTAGGAGTCTATTATGTTAATTGATTCACTTTCCGTTTTAAAAACAGTGTAATCCCCTATTTCACGCCGTGAATACAGTCTTTGCTACTGTATTCATGAATACAATAGCTTAAATACATCAAATACATCTTATAACCACATAAAAGGTATCTATAATCTGTAATATAGCAAATGGTATCTATAGATGGCTAATTACTACTAAAAGGTAGTACTTTATGAAAATTTCTCTAAATTTTACCTTCTCTGCCTCGAGCGGGCCTGCCCGTTTAGTTGGGTCGGGCCTGTTAAACCATAATCATGCTATACCATTTCTTCAGAATCTGTGCGACTTAAAGATACAAAATCCAGTTTCGTCTTCGTCTAATCATCTATATCCACCCTCTGTTTCTGCAAAACATGTCACCAACAGCTATCTTAAACCCTCGAATTCCAAACTTCACTCCCCCATTTCCTTTATCCTCCTCACTACCCAAGCTCTCTCAACTTCATTTCCTCAACTTACCCCTAACTTTTCACCAAAAGACTTTTCAGTCCCAAATTCCTTCCCATTCTCTCCATTTCCAGTCCTATCAACCCCAATTCCCCATCGAAGACGAAGATGAAGAAGAAGAACACGTAATCGGCGACTGCTTAGTCTTCGAAGAAGGAGTTTTCGAAGACCCTTTTATTATCCAGAAACCCGAAAATAAACCACAAACACAAAACAACAAGAAAAAAACAGAAATTCAATCCGAAAATTTAATTCCGGATGAATGGGTCGAAGTTCAGAGGGAAATTAATATTACGAAAAAGGAAAGGCGTAAACTTGCGCAGCAATTGGAATTTGGGCAACGCGTGGAGAAAAAGAGACTAGGTTTGAGGCCAATTGGTGAAAACGGTAATGTGAGTGGGAATAGCATTGAGGAGTATTTAAAAGCGAGGGAAGAAAAATTGAAGCAATTGAAACCGCTAATACTTGAAAAACCAGATTTTTCGGAGGTTAATAAAAGGGATAAGAAAGATGTTGAATTGAGTGAAAGTGAAGAGGAGAGCTCCGTTTTGAGGGTTTCGAGTGAAAGGGTAATGCCAAGGAATCCAAGATCAGCGGTTTATGGTGGTGGATTGGAAGATATTACGGAGTTTTTCAATAGTGGGATTTATGAAGCCAATGCCGCTAAAACTTCTGAAGGTATGGTTATCTTTATGACTAGGTTCAAGTATTAGAGCCAAAGCTTCTACATTTTCCTGTTTCAATTTGGACATCTGTTTCACAATGTTTAGGAAATAATGTTTACATTTCTGAAACTACTTAAAATGTACTACAAGTTTCAAATTTGATATTTAAATATCTTTACATGGTCAAAGAAAAGAGATAGTAATAGTGTTATATAACATGAGATATGTGAGTACTAAACTGGGGCAAGTCCCGGTTGAACTGAAGAGTGGACCGAGTTAAGGGAAAAACAGATTGACTCTCCAAATAATAGTAGTAATATGTAAAACGGAACAGAGAATTATTAAATTTGGGCTATTCCGTTGAACTGAGAGAGGCCTGAGTTAAGATCTTTTACATGCCAGCTCATTAAAGCAATTCACCTTTTGAACGAAATGTATATTGTATGGAGTACCTATTTTTCTAGACCTTGTGGAAAATGACTTTGTCCACAAAATGGTATATAAACTCATGCTAGATTAAGATAATTTTATAAACAATTCGAGCCTTAAAGACTAGCCTAGCAAAGCATCCGATAACTATCTAAATTAATTGAGTTTGTATTTTCTAAAACAATGAGTTTGTCATTGGGTCGAACACTTGTTAATTGAGTTGAGTTGAGTTGATTCTTTCCAACTTGGCATTGTTGACTTGGACTTTTAAAGTATGTAGGAAGTGTGAAAAGAAATGTATATGCCGAATATCCGTGAAGGCAGCACTTACTATTGATTAAAATGTTGTGTGATTGTGTCATAGCATACAGAATATAAAATTAAACCACATTTCCTTTCTTCTATTGAGTAATTAGTTATTACTCCTACTACATGTATAACTATTTGCCAGTGGTGATATAATGATATAAGCATCGATTAACACATTTGTTGAGAGTTTGAAACTATTAAATCTCGAAACACTAGTAGCCATTAGCCTGCCAATACGTTTAAGTATAGTTGGTGTTTCTAAGCACTAAAAAACGTATGGACAAATTGATGCAGAAGTACTAATGTAAATGTCTGTGGCTTGCTTAGAAGTTATTATCTCATACTTGTAGCATTTTTCCTAATGCCATTACTTTGTTGCGTTTAGCGACTCTCAGAAATTTTGGACGAGATGTAAATCTTCTTATTGGCCCCTGTTATATCGTAATCTTCTGACTTCTCGTCGTTGCCAGCCTGAAGAAGTTTTGAGAAACTCTATTTTTGAAGAAACTCCTCTATCCACATTCTTTTGTTTTTGTTTCCAAATCTTAGGCACAAATTCTTGTCAGGCTTATATTGCTTAAAGTTAATTCTTATTTACTGGTATCCACTTTTACAGGAATTTACAATTTATCGTGCTAATTGCTTTTGATTAATGCATATATTGAAGCATGATCTTTTTCTTTTCTCCTGTCCTTAAATTGGACATATTAAATAGCGGTGCACACCTTTTATCTCAAACCTTTCCAGAAAGCTGATATGACCTTTCGCCATAAGATTCAGATATTGTTTTGTCCTGTTGTTCCCTTTCTTTTTCTCCTTAAATTGAAGTATGGTATATTATTTGTTCCCTTTTTGGGCATCATACTTTTTATACTAATCTGTGTAGGTCCTCGTAAGCTGTTTAGTAAAGAAGAAAAGGTCCTGTTAAACAAGCGGTTTCCTGATTTGGCAACTGCTACCTCTGTAAGTTTCTGCCTTCTACGTCATCTTGTATGTTTTCTCCTATACTTGGCTATTGTCACTTATCGTTTGTGTTGAAGCTGATATAACGCTGCTCTGTTTCTACATTTTCTTTTCCTGTACAAGCTTGGTGTTCCATCTTTAATGCAGTTTGTGCAAGTAAACCTCTTGACATAGAAGGTTTAGATAGATTGCTAAATTCCATCTAAACCTCGCAGGCGAAATGGCAGCCCTTACATACTCTAGCGGCCTCCGGGGAGTTTTACCTTCTCACCACTTTGTTGAAGCACGTCGTTGATATTAATGTTCCAGACAAGGTACATAATGTTGTGATAAGTTCCAGTAGAATGGTCCTTTCTGCTCCACCATATTTGCTGTTTTTATTAGTACATTTTTTAAGTTCTTATACGAATAACCTAGGATGAAAGTAGAGTCTTCTTTTTCCTAGCTCCTGCTGAGTTGTGATTTATTCTTTTTTACAGGATGGATTGACAGCTATCCACAAAGCAATTCTTGGCAAGAAGCAGGCTATTTTCAACTTTCTTTTAAGAGAATCTGCAAATCCACTTATACGTGACAAAGTGAGCAAAAGCTTCTACAAATGCTTGATTACGTCTTGTTGGTTCCTTTTTATCAACATCCATGCAACCATATTCTTTTTCTTTTTCTTCTCTCCTCTTGTCCAAACTTTGTCTCATATTGAGCCATGTATCAGTATTAGCTTATCGTCAGCCATAAGCATTACTTATGTGATTTCCATTCTTTATGAACTTTGGGATAGTCAGTGTTGCCATTTGCTATTAGTCTAATATGATCTTCTTGACTTATAACATGATGGAGCCACCTTGATGCACTATTAATCTAATATGATCTTCTTGACTTATTACAGGATGGAGCCACCTTGATGCACTATGCTGTTCGAACGGCATCGACTCAGATGATAAAAATCCTTCTCTTGTATAATGTTGATATAAACCTCCAAGATCATGTATGGCCAACTAATTTTTTATTGTCATCTTGAAATATATTTTGGGTGGTCTCCTATGTGCTCGTGTCTAGGTTTATATGAACATGGAAGGACTTCTTCTTTCAGGATGGATGGACACCTTTACATCTAGCTGTTCAATCACGGAGAACTGATATAGTGAGGCTTTTGTTAATTAAGGGAGCTGATAAGACTCTAAAGAACAGGGTAAAATCTTTCATAATAAATTTGACTCTTGTTTTATTGCTTTTGCTTCTTAAGATCTCATGGCTTGGACTTTATATGTATTCATTTGATGTCTATCTAGAATGTACATGTTCTATGTGGAATTATTTTAGAATGTTGGCAAATCGAGATGATACTATTTTCTAGTATGGTTTGAGATCTTGTTTCTTGCTTTTCTTTTAAGATCTCATGTCTTTTGCTTTCATTTGAGAGAGCGATTGAAAAATACATGGTTTTGTTGCGCAGGATGGTCTAACGCCACTTGACATTTGCCTCCATTATGGGCGAGACATAAGGACCTATGAGCTTATCAAGTTATTGAAACAACTTCCCAAGGTTCATTAGTTGGTCTTACCTAAATATGCAGCTGCTAAATACGAAATTTGCAGAACACCAGCGGGTTGCAAGCGCCAGCTTTGCCGTTGGCTCTCGCTTGTGTTGCACCCGATAGTTATTGGTACACAACACTTGGCCCTTGGATTGTCCCAAAAAGCGGATTCATGTTTATGCTTACACTGTTAGAGAAGGAAATTTCTCTTTTTAATTTCTTCACGTTGTACTAACAGAATGTGCACTATAGCAAAGTGTAAATAGAACTGTATATTGTTATTAAACACATATTGTACTCCATTAAAATCCAGATTTTCCTGTTGAAGATTGAGACTAAGAGAGGCTAACTGGTGTAATGCAACATGTTAATTCTTACTTGCCGTTTTAAACAAGTAAAAGTACTTAATAAAGTTGCTTAATGTTCTAACTTGGAACAAATAAAGAAAGAATTTAGACTTAATTGTATTCTTGTCCTTCACTGATCGTCTGCATGCCTTGATGACATCGTCCTTATTTTTTCTTGTCGTGCAGATAATAAAATTGTCTCAATCACAAAACCAAAAATTTCTTTTCTAAAATCCTTTGAGAATATATTTATATCTTAACCATCTTTGTATGTGGCTGTATTAATGAACCACCTGTCACACAGTCCGCGAGATGCCTCTCTAAAGCGAGGGGTAGAGAAGAAAGCTATTGGCACTTTTACACCTAGCATTGTCCCTTATTCAGCAGAACAATGTCCCATACAATATTGAGGTTATTAATAATTAAGTACTATTAGATCGAGGCGGATTCTGAATTTAAGGTCTATGTGATTCTGTCTTTAAGGTTTTTAGTATTGAACTCATTACGATTTAAAAATTGTGAATTCAAATATACTATTTGTTAGTAAAGTTTTAGTAAATTATACACATGAAATTATATTTTGTGTAAGAAATATTGGATTCATATAAACTCGATACATAACGGTGCATCCACCTTGTAGAAAGATTACATGTCGCAAATATTATGATGCACCTCTGCTTGCAGAAAGATTACATGTTGCGAATATTATGATATAAGCAACTCTATCCAGAGAGTGTTTAGCTAAGCTTATAAGTTGGTCAAATCAGCTTATAAGCATTTTTCGGTTATGTGTTTTGAGCCCGTTTGGCTTAGCTGATTTAGAGTAGCTGATAAGCTGATAAGCACTTTTAAGTGCTGAAACTGATTTAAAAAATAAGCAGTTACGTGTTTGGATAAAAGTGCTGAAATTAATAATATGCAGCTGAAGAAGTGGGTATATGAAGAGTTTTGTTTTAAAAAGAAGTATTTTAGAGATAGAATAGCAAATATTTTGGTCAAACTTAAAGTGCTTATAAGCTGAAATTTGATAAGTTGGGGGAGACCAACTTATGGCTTTTGGCTTATAAGCACTTAACTTATAAGCACTTTTAATTTTACCAAACGCGTAGATAAGCCAAAAAGTGCTTATAAGCCAGTTTGACCAGCTTATAAGCTTAGCCAAACACCCACTTTGTAAAGTTAAAAGTGCTTATAAGCCAAAAATAAGCAAAAGCCATAAGCTGATCACCCCCAACTTATGAATTTTTAACTTACTAGTTTCTATAAACGTGCTTTACACGTTATCAATTGTACGTACATGTTCAGTCTATCAAAATCTTGCACTAGATAATCATGCGGAAAAATAAATTGAATTTACAAAATATTTTTTATATAAATATAACAATTAATGTGGAAGAAAATGCAATAAAGAAAAATGTTATTACATTAACATATATATACTTGAAATCAAAATGACTTGACATCTATGTTAGATAATTATATGTACTTATTCGTATCTTTCTTACCTAGTAAGTACTTCTTTGTAAACAAAAGTTTTCGTATATGTTCCCTTATGACGCTTGATTGTTCCGTTACGACGAAACGCTTGCGTCAGTTATAGGAGATGGTGTATCAAGATATTAGCAATTTTTTGGAGATATTGGCATTCAAATAGAAGGAACACATAAGAAAATATGGTGAAGTAATTTGGTAATGAAATACCAATACAAAATTAGTTAAGAACTTATTCGTATTGAATATTTATATCAAGCAAATAAATATGACTCGTGAAAGAATTATTACACAAATAGAAAAAGGAAAGAAATTGCGTATTTTAAATTCCATCACAAAAAGATTTTACTTTAGAAATTAGTAGTATTAGTTACTTGTGCTTATAGTTAGCCCCAACAGAATTAAAGTTTGACTTCGAAACTTCAAGTTTTACTTAGAGATTACTTAGCGAAAGGAAATGAGTCCCAACAAAAATACTAACGTTTTGCTTTGAAACTTTTAGAGCTTCTACTTTTGGTTACTTAAACTATTCCATCCATTTCAAATTATATGTCGTGCTTTCGGAAAATAGTTATCTGTGTTATAACTAGAATTGTATTTAAGGTGAATGTCTATATTTTAGAGAGATCTTAGGGTTTGTTACTTGGTGGCTAAGCCACTTTTTCATATAAATAGAGGTGTTCTATTCCATTGCAATTCATCCCAAATCAATAAAAATTCTCTCTCTCTACTTTTCTCTGCAATACTCTTCTTCTTCTTTTATTGTTTTAAACACGTTATCAGCACGAGACTCTAACCAATTGAGTAAAGGCACCTCCTTTGGTCACCAAGCTTTGGAATAAGTGCATGGTGCTCAACTTGTACATAATGTTGAGCATAATTATAATCAATTGATCCATGAACTTCTTTCGGAAATAATTCTGGATTTAAGGTAAGTATTTTACCTTATTTTTCTCTTTTAAATTCTTGAAATTCTATAGTGTGATTTTAAATACAAGCAAAGACAACAAATTTTGATTATAACTCTAATAGATTTTGTGAGAAATTATAACCACCCAAAGTGGTAAAATTTCCATGTCTTACCATGATCAAATTCATGTATGATTATGGGCACAAGAAGTGAAAATCTGTCCCATTGAATTTGCTTCATTCTCATTCCCTTATGAGATCGTGGTAGCAATATGCGATAAGTTTGAAAGAGACAAATTATTATCGTGAATGTATCAATGGATGTGGACGTGGCAGTAGACGCAATTATAATCGTCATCACTGTGGTAATGAGAATAATAAGGATTCTCAAAATAATCCTTCACTCTCTGAAAGTAATATTTGTCATCGATTTGACATGAGATTTTGTAAATCATATTGAGATGATTATGGTCCATTCATGATGTGAATGTGACAGCATGTGATTTATGAATTCATATTCATTCTTGAAAGAATATGAACGTGCTAGTGATAGTGGATATACGACACTAATCTCTAGAAAGAGGTTTGAGATGAAATAAGAAAATAATTTCATTATTATGGCATGAATGGTCATTGACCACGTATGTCACGATCCAATTTCTCCTATAGGCCGTGATGGCGCCCAACGTTATCGCTAAGCAAGCCAACAGTGAACTAACCATGTGATTGTTTCTTTTAACAATTTAGAAATAGTTGGTTTTTAGTTATTAAATAAATAAGAAGCGAGAAATTTAATAAATAAGGAGTAAACAATTATAAGAACAAATACGGTGTAGTAAATACTCAAAATCACCAAGTGTCTACTAGCATAATTTCCAAGAGCTGGTGTCACAAGTGTATGAGCTACTAGTAGAATATACAATGTACACTAAGCTGTCTGAAATAAAGTTGATAGGAAGTAAATACAAAGGTAAGACTTCAGGTGCTGCAGAATGGGCTCGGAAGGCAGCTCACCGCTAAGTCTGGAATATCAGGAGTGCGCACCGGGATGATAACGAAATACACCCACCTCAGATCCTGCACGGTTAGTGCAGAAGTGTAGCGTGAGTATATAAACAATATGTACCCAGTAAGTATCTAGTCTAACCTCGAAGAAGTAGTGAGGAGGGGTCAACTCCGACACTTACTATGGGCTGACAATAAAATACCGAAATTCTAATAAGCATGGGCTATGTAAATGATAATGAAAACTCAATAACAAGCAGTGAATAAATAATTCTTTCACTAATAATAAATCCCACATCGATTTCTGTCATTTAACAATTGTAACCTCTCAAGCCAATAAAACGATATCAAGTATAATAGGCTCCGAGTATTATTGCACATGATTTATGCCGAGGTCGTACGGTCTGATCCAAAAGAATATATATAAATACTCTGTGCACTGCCGAGGGTCGAATGACACAAACCATAGAGCATCTATTAACCTGTCGAGGCGAACGGCCCGCTCCCATGAGAGTAGAGGAATTTACCTCACTCGCGAAAATACTTGCGACGCCAGAGGACATGGATTTCTCAAAGTTATTATAGAATTCTTCAATTCTTTCCAAAAATAAGAAATCTAACTTGGAAAATTTCAACCTTATAATGCCTAACCTCAGCTCTATTTAAGGCAATTATTATGCATTATAAACATGATAGTACAATCAAAGCATGATGTAAATCCTAGGATACCCGGACAACTCATGAAATATAGCTACGCACGGACTCTCGTCACTTAGTGAGTACGTAGCTCCCCACACAAGTAATTCACAATAACAATACACCTAATTAAGGGGATGAGTTCCCTCTTACAAGGTTAGGCAAGAGACTTACCTCGTTCTCAAACTCACTTCCGGTCCACAAGTATGCTTTAAATTCTCAACTTGGTGCCAACAACCCGAAACTAGCCAAATATTGTATAAATATATCAATATATACTCAAAAGTTCATAATCTAACTATTGGAGTAATTACCCAACCCAAAGTGGAAGATTCCTAAAATTTACCCCCGAGCCTACATGCCCGGATTCCGGAAATGTTCGAAGATAATTGTTATCCATAACCTCACGAACTCAAATATATAATTTTTACCCCATTCCATAATCATTTTTGTGTTTAAATCTTATTTTTTATCAAAATCTAGGTTGTTCATCAAAACCCACAATTCATAATTTTATATATTAAAATCTACCCATAATCTATGTTTTAAACTCATATTGTATAGAAATCGCTTACCTCAAAGTCTTCAAAAGCTCCAAAATCGCGCAATGAATGAAAGAAATGAGTCAAAAATGGCTTAACTCCCGACTTAAATGAACCTCACTGCCCATTGATTTTTCGCACCTGCAATGCCACTGCCGCACCTGTGGTTCCGCTTCTGCGAACAAAATCACGTAGGTGTGGACCGAGCCCAGGTCGGCCTCCTTCGCATCTGCGCCCAGCGGATCGCTTCTGCGAGCCCGGTTCTATGGCGAGCGCGTCGCACCTACGACCTGTTCCGCTTCTGCGATCGCTTGCTCCGTACCTGCGCCTTCGCAGGTGCAGTACCTGC